AAAAAAAAAAAAAAAATAACTATCTATTATTTTGTAGGGGCTGCTTTTTGACTTGCACATTATGGGAAGATTATGTGCAAGTAATTGTTGATGCTTTGAACAATGATACCGTGACTGACTTGCGCGTAATAATTGTGCAATTTTGCCGAGCGAAATCTTTTGATGATGGTATGTTATTAACATTGAATTAATTTTTTTTAATAACTTATAATTTATGTTCTCTAAAATTTTTTTTATCTTTTAGGATCTATAAAAGCTGGTAACATTTTTGATGCTACCAAGCTAATCATGGGTGATGTACCCGAAATTGTGGAATTCAAAGAGAGGTATTGATAAATATGGCTATTTTATATACTTTCTTATATCATTATCATGGACTTGATCAAAGAGTTAATAATATTTACTTTTTTCAAAATTTATTTGTTTATTTTAAAGGTACAACTCCCACCCAAGGCCAAGCGATTCATCATTCAAATACGTGAGGCCCTATATTTCTAATGTTCGTGATGATTTGGAGTCGGGAATTTCTCCATTCATAGGCTTAGCTGATTTTTTGAAAGCTAATGAGGTAAAAATGATATTACTAAATAATTACTATTACTATAGAAGTAATTGTTACATCTACGATTTTATAAATTAGTTATCAATCACTTATATGTTAGATTACTTATTTATTATTTTCAGGAAAAGAATTTTTGGATATATGGAAACATCATTGACGTATCGGATAATTGGTACTTCAAATCGTGCCCCAATTGTGTTCGGAAAGTGGAGCCGAAAGAAGATAAATTTTGGTGCAATTATTGCAAGGACTCGATTCCTTTTGCGATACTTAGGTAATTTATTACATTACACATTTCATTGTTACAATTCATATTTATATGATCTAATAATATATTATTTTGAAATTATAAGGTAAAAGCTCCATATTTCAATTGTGGACGACAATGGCATTGTACCACTGCTGTGTTGGGACAAAGTCGCTAGAGAATTAATTGGAAAGTCGTGCGAAGATGTTTTCAACGACATGTTGAAGGCATGCTCATTTATGTTTTCATCTAAAAGTTCTAATGATAAAATTACATATCAAATTATTATTATTCTTATATTATATTCTATTATGCAGCAAGATGATGGATCAACTTTGCCAAATGAGATTGAGCTTTTGAATGATAAAGCAATAATGTGTAAAGTATCAAAGAAGAAGGATCAATTTGGATCTTATAAGGGTCCATTTACGGTTTCTCGAATTACCGTTGATCCTATTTTGTTGGATAAGTTTGGACCATTGGCAATTACTTCACAGGTTATTACTTTTATAAATTTTATATATAATACATATAAATATTTTTCTTATTATTTCTAATTCATATTTTCTAATTATGAAGGATTCAAATGGTGAAATGTACAGCCCAATGAGGCCTGTACAGATTGAAGTGAACAGCCCTAAAATGGCTGTAGAGGCTGAAGTGCAAGTGAATGTGAACAACCCAATATGGGCTGTAGATGATGAAGTGAATGTGAACAGCCCAGTGTGTGATGAAATTGCTGAAGGGTACATCCCAATAAGGGATGCAGATGCTGAAGGGTATAGCCCAATAAGGGCTGAAAAAGCTAAAGGGGACAGCCCAATAAAGGCTGTAAAGCCCAAGTTGTACAGCCAAATCAGGGCTGTAAAGGCTGAGGTTTACAGCCCCAACAAGGCTGACAAGGCTGAAATGTACTGCCCGCTCATGGCTGCTAAGGGCTACAAAGAAAAGATAAAGAATAGGGAGGAAACTGAGCAATTTGGATATGGATCAAGTTGTTCAGAAGAGCCAATGGGGAAGAAGATAAAGATTGAAGAATTTTGAAGTGTTTAGTTATGAGTTTCTGTAATCTGCTCCCTATTACATTGTTTTCCATTAATAATATTTCTGTTATCTAAGTTTTGATTGTTTGTGCTATTAAATAATTTTAATTTAGATTCAGTCCTATTATTAAATCTTCTATCAGTATAACCACTAAATTCGAACCTCAATGAAAAGTGTTAAATAACAAAAGCAAAGAATACAACAAAGCAGAATAAGTAATGTCATATAATCAAGCTTTCTAGCTGTTCAGAAGACCTATTTAAATATCCAAACACAAACAAAACCAATAGGTGTGCAACATGTAAACATGCCTTTAACAATATCAGAATACCAGCAAAAACAACAAAACAACAAAAACAGCAGATAAACAGGCCATTAACAATAATAGTGTTCTAAAGCAGTTAACTTGCTCAGTATTTTCTACTTTAATCAAAACAGCAAAACAACAAAAACAGATAACTTAATAAGCAAATAACTCAATAGATCATATAACTTGATCAATACTTTCTACTCTAATCAAAACAGGAAAACAACAAAAACAAAGAACTTAATAAGCAAATAACTTAATCAGTTTATATCAGTTTTCTAAAGCTAAACCACTGAATCATGCTTTTAACAATATCAGAATAAATACAAGTGCAAAGAAATTACAAGAAACAGTTTCAATTATGATTCTGTGTTGCTATCGCAATGAAAGCATCAAAACAGCAAAAACAAATCCTTAGTAAGCAATTAACTTCAACAGATTATACAAGTTGTCTAAAACAAAAACCTCTATCAGAATAGTGTTTTTAACTCTAATCATAACAAAAATGGAACACCAAGAAATAAAGACATCAGAAAGGAACATTTAGCACTTAATCATTTAACGCATAACATCAAAACAGGACCAAGAAAAGTACAATTTAAACAACAAGTTGTGGGTGTGCAACACATATTCATTTATTAGAACAAAACCACTTAATCATGTTGTTTAAGTTGTGTTTTGGGTTTCAGGGTTTAGGGTTTCAGTGTTTAAAGTTTATGGTTTTCTAAAATGTGTTCAGTCTTACTACATCATATCAACCGGAAGACTGAAGATTCATGCAGAAATTATCATTTATCCCTTAATCAGTAAACTAAACAAATTATTTAAGTGTTGTGGCATAACAGAGAGTGCAATATAAAAATCAAGTTCAGGACAGCTACTGAATCATGCATTTTGGGGCATAATATGAACAAAACAAGAATAAATAATGTCATATAATCATCTTTCAAAAAACAGATTCATATGATGTTAAGAAAAAATGACCATTGAACAGCACTTACTATTCAGTCATACAGAACATTTAAAATTTTAACATTGTACAGAATCAAGATACCACTAATTTCAAAAATAGCACTTTTTAAGAAAGAACAGATTCAACTATTCCAATGAAAATAACTAAAAAATAAATGTATTAAAATGTTTTTTATTTCAGCCACTAATTATTTAGGTAATTAGCCAATTAGCAAGTCACAAATATGGAATAACATTTAATCAATCACATACATCATGAAAAAAAAATGATCAATTTTATTATCACATTAACTATATATCAAAACAAAAATCAATCAAACCAATAATTTCGTGGGTTAAGGTATCAAGAAATATATCAGTTTCAACAAAGAATTTACTCAATTTAATGAAATCCTGATTTCAGCAGTCATACATATTTCACAAATATTTCATTATTTAATACCTTCCAAATACAAAAAACAAAGTCAATATATTCAATAAGTTTCTAATAAAAGCTAACTAATGCACTTAATATACTTACCAAACATAGATGTTGCAGTTTTCTATATAAACCAATAAATTCATTTTTACTATACTAATCCCAAAAACACATCATCTCAATAAAAACTTTGTCAACTTCTGTGCTTCATCAGCCCAGCAGAAGCAGAGCAATAAAGACCAAACAAGAAGATTTATGAAGCACAGAAATAAGGTGGATTCAGCACTGAAAGAACATTGATCAACACAAATTCAAAGAACATGAAAAGGTTATCCAACGGCTACAGCATATTGGGCAACAAAAAGAACAAACAAGATTCCACTTCTAATGGTACACAATCCTATTGTGTGCTACTACAAATATCAATTTTTTTCAAAATTTGTTACCTTTTTTTGCTCTTACCTTCTTTTCCAAATATGCATTCTTTGAACAGCCCATTTTGTTACCCAAATGATAAGACCTCGTGCTTACAGAGTCATTTACCTTCAAAACAGAGATTCATGGTGTTAGAATATATCCATTTTTCACTATATATATGAAAAATATTGAAATGTATGACTGTTGATTACACTTATCTTATTTGTTTATACTCTGGTCCTGTCTTCTTCCTTGGTTTATAACTGCAAAGCATATTATAAAACTGTTATTACTACTGCTACACATGCAAACGAGTTGTCATAGCATTTAAGTTAACAATATTATACATAGCAGTATACTTCTTAGTATTCTGACCGTATTGCAACTGAACTTAATGAATTACCTTTGTTATATTTCAGTGGTTTGTCGTGAGTAACATAACGATAAATATGATTTTAAATATAAACAAGCAACTCAAAATTTTAATTAAAACATTGACTTAAATTAAAGGACATATTCATGTAAGTATGCATTAGTTAAAGAAAAAAACAAAAAAAAAATTGATTACATCGGTAACAAGCACCGATGTCACATGAAATGAAAAAACAATATAGAGAAATACTTTAATACCAAAAATAAAATTAATAAATGTAAACATAGGCAAAAAGTATATTCCGACTGTGATTTGTTCAAACAAATGGTCCTTATTCGACCTCTTAACATCACAGTTCGTCGGAAGGTAGGGCCAAACGGTAATCTCATAATATATATATTTTTATTAATATAAAAAATTAAATAAAACCCAAAAAAAAAAAAAAATCTTCACAGCGTATCATGTTATTACGATATCAATACAAGGAAAATTTTAAAAAATTTTAAAAAATGTAAAAGTTGTAGATCTACCAAGATACAAAACGTAACTAACCGAAAACAATTCAGATCTGTACATATCTCTTCAGATCCATTATGTAATCACCATTTAAAAAAAAAAGGTTTAAACCAATAAAAAAATTCGAAAAAAAAGATAGATCTGCAGATATCTACATGTAATCGCCCGATTTGTACCGATATACTATGAAATAGTATATCGGTGTTGTAAAATCGGTCCGATTTCACTTTGTCGTCTCCCTTTTGATTCGAAAAAATAAGATCTCATGTATTTTTCGCTATCGCCTTCAAACACCGACTTGAATCGCCTGGAAAACATCATTTTTGGCGAGATTATCGGCGAAAAATAGTTGATAAAGTTCAGTAGAGAGAGACAAATGAGAGGGAGAACAAATTCAGAATTAAGAGAGAGGCGAGAAAAATGGCGAAATCGGTGCCATCTCTAGGGTTTCTGGTATTTAAAGGAGATGACAGCTGTCCACACGCGTGTTGGTTTTAAACGGGCTGTACATTTCGATCCACACGCCATCTCTTTTAAACGGGCTGTTTTAAATGAGATCACATGTGTCAATTTTAAACGGGCTCCTTTTTACCCGAGTTTATGTGGGCTTAATTTCAAATCTGAACAGACATTTGAGTGTAAAAGCCCAATTGCTGCAAAATAAACAAGTAACATCATTTATTGTCATTTAAATGAAAAGCCCAATAAATTATGTTCACTTATTTGTGTAGTACTAATTTTTTTTATCTAAACAAGTAAAAAAATTACATCTATATATTTATACAAAGATGTTACATTTTATACTTCAAATTATCTTTGTGTTTGGTCTATTTTATATTTTACACATTTATATATTATTAATTTTGACATTATTAAACGCATAGCTGTTGTAAATTATTTCTAACCGCTATATTTATTTAAATATTGTAGGTTCATTATCAAATTTGTCTACGGTAACACATTCATACCAAACACCGCCA